AGTCCGATGTACTGCTGATGCAACTGTTCATGGTTGAACACACTCTTTGCCACGTAGGCTCCTCCAGCCGCAACTGGTGGAGGAGGGCGTGAAGCTTATGTTTCGCACTGGCTTTGGCCGAGCCCACAGACACGGGCGTTCCAGGTCGCATATATAATATCTTCATCAAGAGCCTCAATGCGCTCACGGCCCACTCCGAGTCAGCGGCCTGAAGATCCTTTCCTCGTAACTCGTAGAGGCCCCTGTGAGCGCAGAACACAATCCAGGGCCATAGATGCATCTTGACGGCGCGCGCCAGCGTGCCAAAATCACAACGCATCAAGATCGAAGTCTGGGAAGATCGAGCCGACGGGCATTGCGCTGGAAGAACCCCGACCATGGCACGCAGCATTCGAACTCGCAAATAGCGCGTGCGCACATGGGCACGCATGCCGCGCGCAGCGCGCGGTGCAAAGAAACCCTGGCAAACTCGAACGCGCAGGTGCCAAAACGAGGACAAGTGCGAAAGGCAATCAACAGTCAACATCCTTCTTGGGGAGGGCGAGGAGGTGAGAGAAGTTCTGCCCACGCGAGGCGGGCAGAACTTCCCTCACCTCCTCGTCTTCCCCCTCATCGGGGACTTGGGTGCGAAGGAGCGATTGCGAACGGCGGAGCCGAACCGATCGTTTTGCGTTCACTGTCAACTGTCGTGGTTTGCGCACTCACAAGCAAGACAGCATTTACCATGAGCAAAGCATCCCCTGAATGCCTGACAGCACGTAGTAGGGCACGCAAATCACATACTGGGATTCTGCAAAATAGCGAATTGAACCAATCTCGTTTGCCCTGGGGAGACGAGTCACAACTCATGTACGTAACGTACTCCTGATGATCCTCGGTCATCTGCCGCAGCAATAATAAATACCTCCCGTCGCAATCTAGCTGTCTACCCCCAGGCCCCCTTGCCCTGGTTCGACCCCTCGAGCGTCTACCTCTGACTCCCCTCAGGAGCTCCTGCGTCCTCCGTCCTCCAAGTTCTCACCTATGCTCGGACATCCCTCCTCGATCGCACGTCACGTCACTGCTAGAGCGATGCATCGCGCTGCGAAGCTCGGACACGGCAACTTCGCCTAGGACATGCTTCCCCCCCCCCCTCGCGCCCAGCATGCAAGGACAAACGGTGTCGCTTCAAGTAGTAGTCCCTGGCAACCGATGCACTGTCTCAGCAGACTTCAAGAGCGTGAGCCCTAGGTCGCCGGGGAGGGCCACCTTCAGCGCATAGGATACCGCATCCTTCAGCATGGCGCAATTCTTGAGCTTGGCACTCAGAATGAGACACGAACATAAAAACTCCATTCGGTATGCCCAGTTCTTGCCAACACGTTCCATGTTCTGCTTGCTTTCGAAATCATTGAGAACAGAATCCAACCACGCCGCGATACCCCTCCAAGTATCAAGTGTGGTGTTGCTTGCACTCGGCATTGCAGTTGAACACGCAATCCTGCTTCCCCCTTGCGGTACCCGAGTAACCCCATTGTTATGCATTGCCCCCATCTGTTGTGCCCTTCCCGATCGAAACACTGGCTCGGCCGCCCTGCCCCTCAAGAAGGAGGAAGGATAATCAAGCTGGTTAAAACATGGGAGGGACAAAGAAATAGGAGGAGTAAGACGGGAATGTCTTGGCCCCCCTCCTCAAGCCCACCACCCGAGCACCAAGCTGCACCCCCGGGCCCCCAGGCCCTTCGGCCCGCGGCCCGCCCCGACGATAAAGCCCGAATCGCGGTCGTAATTGGGCTGCGGCAGCGGGCGACAGAGAGAAGGGAGAATAGGATCCCAGGTCCCAGGACTATTGCGACCACGACTGGAAACCAATATCCCGCGGCGACTGTCACATCACATCATGCACGCGTGCGCTATAAGACCTGCCACCTGCGAAGCTGCCCTCTCAAACAGTAACTTACACACTCTGGATGGCTGATGCCCAACGCATGTGCTCCTGAACTGCTCAGCGACAGCCGCTATCGATGTAGCATCCAACCCGAACAAGCCCTTGCCCCTGCCGTGTGCCAGGATCTGCAACGGGCCTGCCCTTCCCCCCTTTCCGCATTGCATTTAAAGTTGGCGTGTCCAACGTTAGGGAGGGGGTGAACAGGGCCAGGAGACGGGTGAAGGCGGCAGTGGTCAGAAAGTCACGCAAGAAATGAGATGCAGCTACTGCCAGGGCCAGGGCACCACGTTACGGACCTCGAACTTCAACCTTTATCTTATGCAACAGTCAATGACTAAGAAGAGCGATGTAGGACTGATGGAGGAGCGAGGAGGAGTAAGACAGGATGCAGGAGTAATTGAGGGAGGCTGAGCGAGGGATAATGGGAAAGGTGTCACGATACATCCCTCCTGGTCGAGCCTGGCTGCCTGGCTGGCACCCCTTTGGCAATTTGGGGTTCAATATCTTGGTGCCCTTTTTGGAGTTCAAAGTGTCGTCGTCATCGTCGTCGTCGTCGCCATCGTCATGATTGCGACGACGACGACGATGTGATCATAGCTCATATCTCGATGATCACCATCGTCGTCATCGTCACCATCATCATCATCGTCGTCGCGATCTAGATTATACGAGGCCTCCCTGTATCTGATGGCCCCCTGTTTTGGCTAGAGTGACTGAGCGATCAAAAGTGCTTGAACTAATGATCTGCCACGTGCTACGTGACTTCACTTCCTCCGCCTGTCTCTGGTTCAGCCTTCCCATCATGTCTCAAACCCACTTAGCCCCGCCCCGCCTTCCTCCTCCTCCTAGCCTCCTAGCCTCTTCCTCTTACACCTTCCCCATATTGCAATCTGCCCGCCGCCGCCCGCCCCCCAAGCCGGCGCGTCTGGGCGCCCAATGCCGCACAAGGTCGTATCCAAGGCGCCGCATTGGGGAGCCCTTCCGCGGCAGGGGCCAGCCGAAAGATTGGATCTGGCCTCCAAAAATCAAGCGGCACTGCTGCGGGAAGAGTCTGATGGTGATCTGCGGCGCCTCGCCAGGCTCGATCCGCGCCACGCTGTTGAACTCCTGGCCCAGGCCCAGCCCAAGAGCGACAGAGCGAGCTTACTCGTTCCTCTTTCTCTTCTTTCTCTGGCTACTCTCTTTCTCTCTATCCCTATATCAGCTCTACTAATCCGAGTCCTAGCCTCTAGTGTCTCTCTCTCTCTCTCTCTGTGACCCAAAGACCCAAATCCGATATCTCTCCATACTATACATACATATATATACACACACAAGCTTTCTCCCTCCCTCTCCCTCTATCTATGCTCATGCCCGAGGCCCGAGGCCTACACAGCACTGGGATCGAGCCGACGGCCTCACTCCCTCCCTCCCTCACTCCCCCCCTGGCCCTCCCCTCCGCGAAATGCTCGGACTCGCGGAGCTTCGCCAGCATCTCGCTCGCCGAGGTCCTGCCCTTCAACCCATGCCAAAGCGCGCGCAGACACATCAACACGGCCCAGCCCCCTCCCGAAACGCGTCCCGAACTCATTATTCACAATTCCGCTCCGCTCCGCTCCATCTTCGCAGTCGCAATCTCCTCATCCTCATCCTCATCATCTCCCTTAGCCTCCTCATCAGCCGTGCCCCCTATCCTTATCCTCTCTGAGACTCTCTCCTCCTTCCTGACCCCCCTCCCTCCTCCCTCCCTCCGCCGCGTACTCCTCCTCATTATCATCGTCATGTTCTTCCCCTACTCCAGGTTTCGACGCGAATGATTTGGAGCTCAGGCTGATCTGAAACTCTGAAACTCCCTCTGAGGCCGAGGCCCTGGGGGCCTGGGGGGTGGCAAGGTTCAGCTCACAAGTGCCGTCTCCCTCCCTCCGATCCCTACTCCTCCTCCTCCTCCTCCTCCTCCTCCTCCTCCTCCTCCTCCCCCTCCTCCTCCTCCTCCTCCTCCTCTTCCAGCCTCCTCATCTTCTCCCGCCTCTTCCTCCTCCTCCTCCCCCATTCCCCTCCTCCGTCCTCCCCGTTATCGGTGATCTGCCCTGCCCGGCGCCCTGGCCCCATCCTGGTCACCGTCGCCCACAGCGAACGGCTCTCCAGGTTCGCCGCCGGGAGGTAGCCAGGTAGCTTCAAGGTCCTGGCGCCCTCCCTTTTTCATAAGCAGCGCCGTCGTCATCCGTCGCCGTCGCCATGCTCTTCTATCTTCTATGTGCGGCTGTCTATCCTCTGCTCTGCCCTCCCTCAGCTCCGCATCACAGCGTGGACGACGAGGTCGTCTGTCGGGCCAGCGCACTTGAGCCAGCGCAGGTCGTCCGCCGATACCAACCTCCATCCCATGAAGCGGGGGGGCGGGGGCCATGCCGCTGCTCGCCTGTTGCTGCTCCAATGCCGCTGCCGCTCCCCAGGGCCAAAAGGCGCCTGCCATCCCATGTGCCTCCTCTCCTCTTCTCCTCACGACTCACGAGGCTCCCTCCCCTCCCTCCCCCCCCCACTGCAGTGGGTCGCGGTCGCACGAAACCACTTTCGGCGCGTCCAGCACCGCAAGGCCGAAGACCACGAAACACTCGTCATCTTCCCGGGCCCCAGGCACGGGCGGACAGGGCGAAAGGGGCACTGGGATCGAAAGAAACGAGGCTCGGCGGAGGCGGAGCGGAGCTTGAAGGAGGAGAGGTCGGAGAGGTGGTGGTGATGGTGACCAGGTGGTGTCCCTAGCCTGGCCCTGGAGTCCCTGGAGGGGGTGGGAGGGTGAGGGGGAACGGGAGAGACGGGGTTGGGACGACGAACGATCCGAACGATGAGCGGAATAGCAACTGGCAACAGATGGCAACACATCGACGACAAGAGAGACTGCTGGGCCCCTGGGCAGGCTGGGACCCCCCGCCCACCAGACCAGGGCTCCGCCGCGAACGCGGCTGGCGGCCGGCGGCCCGCGTGGGAGGCCACCCACAC